CAGCTGGGGCAGGGGTACAGCAGCCAGAAAATCCAGACACGGAGCTGCAAAGTGGAAGGGGGTGTGGGGGGGATTTGTTAAACACGGTGAAATGCAAAATCAGCTCCTGCAGGGGGTGGGTGTTTCGTTCGGTTGGCAAAAGCTGACTCCGCGGTTAGACTTAGTCCTAGCTTAAAAGAGGTCATTAAACATGGCCAGCTGGTGGAAAAAAATAAAAAAAGTGAGTGCTTCTCACAGCCTCATAGGACTTACTTTCAAATGTCCCTTATGCAAACATTTAGTGAGGTTTAGAGGAAAAGGAAATACGGATGATCCTTCTTCCCCTTCCCAAATACAAAAGCTGGCACTTCTAGGTAATACACCAAAATTTTCTGTTTTCAGAACCAAGGACTAACCTGGAACTATGTCCCAGCTCTAGGTTAACTAACTGCTTGGCAAATGCAGAACAGCACAGAGACACTCCTCAGAGCTGGACCTAAATTTTAAAGGAAAGAGGGTTTTAGTTCTTATTCCTCCCCACTTAAAAAGAAAAAAAAAAAAAGAGAGAAAAAAAAAAACAAGCACACACCACCAAAACACCCCTGCCTGGTTTTCAGGGTAACTCCCCATCCTTGTGAAGTACACCTTAGTGCACTTTCTCCAGCTGATCAACCACCCAAAATTTAATCCCTACAAAGATAATTAGATGTTGAAAAACACTACTGCATGGTCTTCCAAACCATTTGCTACAGCATCAATGATTTTAGTAAGCACTCTTGATATACCCTCACCCAAAAAAAAAAAAAAAAAAAAAAGCAGCACTGTGGGCAAAAGACAAGTACACCACCTCTGAAGTGACCAGCCCCCCCCTCCCCCCAAAAAGGCAAAGAAAAATGGTGCTTACCCATTAAAAAGGGTGTTGGCTTTTTTTAAATAATTGAACATTCAATAAAGAGAGTGACAAGTGGCTCTTAAAATAGTGGCTGGACTATATTAAAAAGGTTTTATTGCAATTATACAGAAGTTACAGGAATTTTAGAAATACATAAAGCTTCAAATGGTCAAGGTCAGTTTTCCTCCAAGCAATTAAGGCAACTGGATGCAATGTCTCTTTAATCTAATATAAAAAGCGAATGGATATTTTACTAGCCATGGATTAAACAAAGTAGAAAAACTAAGATCACAGATTTAAATTGGCAGAACAGAATGCAGCTTTTTTTTCCATATTTCACAGAAATTCAGTGGTTAATTACAACGTACACCAATAAAATGCATCTATTAGAAAAATAGAGAAAAACACAAGTGAAAATTTATCTGAACCAAAGACATTTTAAATCTGAGTCTCAAGGAAAGTTTAAGTTCTGCAGTCTGAAAATAAGCAGCTAAGTTATTCACAGCACAGCTGAAACACATTACTGGTTTTGCCTGTTTTCTTTATAGAGGAGTAATCTAGCCTCACTTCCTTCTCAGTCTAGTTGAGAAGTAGCACTAGATAAAGAAATTCTCTCCTTGCCTCCATATGCAGTTGAAAGATTGGTTTCAGTGGCATATGGCCAATTCTAGGTTGCCCAGAGATTAAATTTCACATTATTTTGATAAAATTGAAACGACTTTCATAGTTTTAGGTGAATTTACTGATCAAATGTGAACTTTGCTCTGAAGTGTCAATAAATAGATGTTTCTACTTAAAAATAATAGAAGTTGTTGCAACATTGAAGTCAGTTTTTCCAATTAAAATTAGAACCAATAGCCTCTTTTTAAAGTGTAAAATTAACAGCAAAATATAACCAAGTATTTTACTAACATTCTGCATACCCCAAATAACTATGTATACAAGTTTTAGCACTATAATGCTTTCCTTGGAAATCATTCCTCCTCAGTCCTAGTATCAGTATAATAAAAGCCACCCCCCTTTAATTCTGCACTTAAGGAAAATCCATTCCTCAAACTCTTTTCCCCTAAATTGAGTAATCAAAGCATTTGGTGACTCTACCTTTAACAGGTAAAAAACCTCCATGTAACAAGCAAAGAAAACACCCCACCAGAGTACAGACTGTCATTAAAATGAGTGTTTTCCAAAAACCCCACCCAACCAACCAAAAAACCCACAAAAAAACCCAAAACCAAAAAGAATAGTTCAAATTAACTCATTTTTCTTTAAAGATAACCAAGTTACAAAGTTAAGGCCCAAGCAGAAACACTGGAAGTTTAATTAACACAGTACACTTTCAAAAGCAATATAATATTCTCCTTTCTCAAACTTTATCTTAGCCTTTGAATCCTATCAACTCTTAAGACTGTTGACGAATTATTCTATACAGTTGTTGAGTTAGCAACCATTCTCTTCAAGTGTGGGCTGTGTTTTTATATGCTTTATTTAAGCTTGCAGGCATCTTTTGGATTTTTATTTCCACAGGCACTTTATTCACAAAAAATGCTCTCCTTGTCAAAAAGGATATTGAAAATACTTGAAAGTTCTGAGACTAGTGCACTGACAAACATGTTTCTGTAACTCAGCAGATGCTAACACTAAAAATCTGCTCTCAGTTAAGTGAGCGTCACATGATCGCAAAGGTTTCATTTCTGCAGGGCATTTAAACATGCAGCCATTTATCTCTTAAATTTCTGTAAATATTGGACTTTTTCAGTAAATTAAAAGAGACAACCTGTTTTCTCTGAAGCATCTAGTAATTAAAAGATAGGAAAGTTGTATTTCAATGTGGCTTAGGAGTGTTACGGATGACTTTGTTCTACCTTTAGCTCTTCCAAGTATCCTACTATTAAAGCAAGCCTGAGACAAGTAGCAAGACACAATACAGGCTACTGTTACTAGACTATCCATCTTCACTCAACAAAAAACCCAGCCAGCCCTGCTTTTATCCTAGATGGTGGGTTTTTTTCTGCTCTAAATTAAGTTACTCTAGACCTGAAATATTCTTTGCACAGACACAGAAGTTCCATGAAATAGATCTTAGAGAAGCCTATTTATTTCTTGAAGTACTAGGTGCAAGTGATTCAAGAGAACTTATTCCAGTATATGAAAGATAGCGGTTTAGTAACCAAAACCTCAGGGTGCAACTACTTCAGAGAAGAGGAAGCATGCCACACTGTTCCAGATTGTACCCTTGTACATGCACCCTGCTCGCTTGCCAGTGTGTACCTGGACATGGCACCCACTCTGCATGTTCACTTGTCCGTATCAATTAAGAGCATCATACTTATTTCAGAGTTGACTATAGTAGGATTTCCAAACATGTTACAGGCAGGTACTTTTACAGCTGCCAGTTGATAAGTAAGGGCCCTTTAACAACAGCAAAAGGCTTTGTATTCTCCATGAAGAGAAAGTAAGTATAGGTACTGCTGCCCAAAGATGCCTCTCGAAAAGATTTTCAAGTGCACTGTCCTTCATTATATGCAACATAAAATCATAAGGGGGGGGGGGAGGCAACAATATTTTCTGCAACAGAAGGCACAAGGTAGTTTTTCATCTTAAGAGAAGGTTGCTTCTGAAGCTTTGAAACAAAGCTAGAAAATTACTTTGCTGTTCCACAACCTAAACAATTGTAGTTTAAAGCTCTTCCGCATGTTTTTATAATGTCCTACTATGAATTCCCTTGATAATTATGTCAAGTTCCACTTCTGTTCTTTAGATATGGTTACACGGTCATGTTCTTCACAAGTTTGTTTTTCAGAAGTTTCAGCAAAAGATGGATCTATACTGCATAATCAGTGTTCTTCTAATACAGTTTTGTCCATTTCACATCCTCTTTCTGTCTCCAAGGCTTCAAAACAATGATGATGAAGCCAGAGAATTTTCTTTTTTTTTTTTTAATATTAGCCTATGTCTTAATCCTACCTAATACAATTCTTGTATTTTAGACCAAGTTTCAGAAAATTAGCTATCCTAAGCATGTATGAAAATTTAATCTTGGACACGTAGTCTAGACCCATATACACTCCTAATGTTTTCCTGCATTAAAAATACTTATTATAATATTTTGCAGTTTTTATATAAAACAGAAAAAGAAAGGGGTCTTATTTATGTAAAAAGCATTTGGAACAGGCTTAAAATGTACAGAAATTTTGCTTTATTGAAAAGGTGTCACAACAGCTTTCCTTAATGTTCATGGGTAAGAATAGAGTATGAGCTCCTGGTATTTTTTAAGAGATCATTAGCACCATAAATGGACATAGGTTTTTGATTTTTAAGGATATGTGTGGCAGTAAGTAGTCCAACAAAGTATTGCATTTGTTAGTACGCAGGCTGACCATAAAAAGTTTCAACTTTATGTGCTGAGTAAACCACATAAGACAATTTCTTTAACATGTTTTTACCAAATTCATGGTCAACAGTGCAAGTGATCGTGACAGATAGCACCTTTAGAGATAAAAGCTACAAGATGCTCACATTATTGCTTTTTTTTTAAAGTACAGCTAGTGCAATAGTTTTGTTTGTTTTTTACAGAGTGAACACATATTGCAATGTCTTACAAATCACAACTCTAGCATCTCTCAGTATACAGCAAACCACAACACTCAGTTGGCAT